TCGAACCTTGAGCTCAAGCATCCCTCTGTATTTACCCAACATGGCAATTTCGAAGCGTCGGCGTCGGCGTTTCGGGATCAATATCATACAAGCCGATAGAAAGGCACCGTGTACATTAGAAAGTCCTAGAGACCCCTAAATAGACGACATCAATGTGGATATCGTCATGATCACGAAGTCTCCTTCGCCTGAGCTTTCTCATTTTCCTCCTCAGTCCGAGTACGTAGTTGTAGCGCGTGAATGCCGCCATCCATGGCAAGCTCGTCTTTTAGTAGAGCATACACCATTCGGTGGCGTGCCGGTTGCATCTTAGATTTGAATGCGTCTGATGCGATGAAGACTCTGACCAAATTTAGCGAGGCTGTGTATGGAGAGATAATTACGGGGCCGCTCATTACCTAAAATGAGTTTCTTTGGAGGTGCTACCTTCCATTGCCTTGTGATGAGCATGCAAATGTGAATCGTTGTGAACTTCGAGAGAAGTTGGTGCGAGAGCTTCTGTGATCTGTCATAGACTTTGTTAGACGCATACTAAAAGGCTTCTGGTGCGAAACAAAGGCGTAGAGGAGATAATCGTGGTATAGCCTGGCTTGTTGCGACGGGAGATATCTGCCGTACCTTTCGCCTTATAGTGTCTTCCATCAGCGTTTGAGAGGAAGTGGTCACCATCTTGGAATACGGTCGGCGTAGCGCACTCAGCGCATTACGTCTGAACATGAGCTATATATTAGTATGCGAGGTATTTTCGCCTTCAAATGTGTGAGATCGAAGTGCATTTCTAACTTCACTTTCAGAGAGCCTTTCCTCATTGGCCGATGGAAATGAACCAATCAGGGAGGGTGTAGGAGAAAACAAGTGCCTGACAACTTGATGTCTCGAAGGTAAGGAAAATGGAAATGGGTCTGTTGTAATCTTTCTTACATTCATACTATTCGTACATCGATTTACGAGCATTCTCTCAGACATGCAATCTTCTGCCTCCAACCCTGAACCAACGGGTAGACGGGTCAGCATGTGTCTCAAACATCCACCATGTGGGGTCTCAGGTCGCAGTGACCCTTCTACCCATTAGTATGAATTTACACAATGCAGAATTCAGCAAAGTAAAAACCACACCGGTGGCATCGCTACATCGTCATCCAGAACTCCTTCACCGAAGAATCCTCCGCGCATAATGTATTCTTGCAACTCGATAATCAAGTCATGGCCTTCCTGCATGGTGAGTTGAGCAATGTCCACGAGATGAAGATGCTGATCTATCCACTCTTGCGGGACCTAAACTTGTTTCTCCAACATCACATTTTGGTTCCTCATGAATGCCTCACAGAAGTGTCTAAACATTGTGCGGGGTGTGTGGCGTACGATCAGCATCATTTCAATGCTATCCGCAACGGTGGTGAGGAGGAGTAGTGTCTCGTGCCTCCAGATGAAGTTCTGCTGGATATCCAGGTTCAGCTCAGTACGCAGCACCTCAATAGCAGCATTCACTTCGTCACGATCCGGAATAAGATCAAGGTTGCGCTCGAGGGTCGGCGGAGGATAATGTCCTGGTGGCGCCATTGGCTACATCATTTC